TTCAATAACTGGCTAAACTGGATGTGTTGCAGAGCACGACCTCTGATATAGTTCACTGTTTTTGTGACAAAACTCAACACATGGTCAATTTTAAAATCATAGAACATACTTTGTTGAATTATACAGTGAAAACGTTTGAATGTTGAATCTGGATATATGCTTTCGATTTTTGTACCAGCAGCAACACCATTATCTCTCCCAAAAATATTGGCATCACCATCAGTATATAAACCCACAACTTTACTCAAATCAAGGCCAGACTCATGGAGAAGCTGTTCAACATTCTCAAAAATGTACTGCTTTGTCGTATCATGCATTGGGACCAGTTCATATAGTTCTTCATAAATTTGAAATTCATTGTTACAAGCCCTAATGAAAACGGTAAGCTGTGCTATTCCAGCTGTCAACATTCTCATCCAGAGCAACAGAAAAATGTTCAAAACTTGATGATAGAGTCTTCAACTGTAGACTCAGATCACCTGCCATTTCATCAATACGTTCACCAACGGTGTTCCTGCTTAATGAAATGTCTTGAAATAAGTGTGACTTCTCTAAACATAAAATTTCAACTGTTTTACAAGACATCGCTTTATGAAATATCATTCACTGTAAGATTTTCCACTGATGCGTTCATTTTGCAGGGGTCAAAGCTTGCAGTAACAGAACTAACGTTGCCTTTGTGAATTTTTGTAAAGCAACTCTGTTGCTGTGTTAACGTAATCTTGAATTCCTTCACTTTTGAAACATGCATATCCCCTTCATATTTATCATAAGATCAATGGTTTGTTTCATAATGTCTTTTCACATTATATTCTTTTGGTGTTGCAATGCAATGATTGCAAAATAAACAGTTTATCTTTCCATTAACAGTGGTACAAAAGTCCTGTAATTCCCACTATTCTTGAAACTTACGTCCTTCTTCAGATAATTTTCTCTTTTTACGAGATAGAGTAGAATTCGACATTTTTGAGCCAAAATTACGAACGTTTTCCCTTTCGTTCTTATTTATTTGTCAATGATGATCCTATGATTAACCGGAAGTTAAAAAATAGTCACTGACATTCGAAAACAAAACAAGAAACACACACACACATTGAGAGAGAACAATCTAATCATACCAATTGAAAAGAAAATCTCACTGTTTTCAATAATTTGCATTACCAACATAGACAAAATTCTAGATATACCACGGCTACAGAAACCTTTGTGAGGGCCGCCAGGATGCATATAAGATACTGTTTGCGGCCAGAAGGCAACCAGTTTGATACATCTACACCCAAATGAAGGAGAAGGTAAGAATGGTACTGAATACCGAGCTGAATTTAAAAAAAAAAGAGTGAGAAAAAAAAGAATACCTGCCTTAAGCAACTTGGCTGTCCCTGTGGTGCAATACAGTTTCAACATCCTTAACTCGACCATAGATGACACTAAGCGAATGGACACCAAAACGAAAGCTCTCACTTCAGGCATCATCCCGAAGCTAATGTCAGTCGTCTGTATGTGCCCAGATCCAAATGAGGCAGAGGATTAGTTCAACTAGAACTGACTTAAGAAACTACAACAATTGACCTTCAAGGATACTTGAAAGTACTGGAGAACATGTGTCAAAGTACATTAAAGTAGTAAGTGTCAAAAAACATTAAAATAGTAATCGACTTTATACCTTATTAAAGAAAGCGAACAAGTTCAAAATGGTGTTTCAAATGGATGTAGATAAACAAGTAAAACATAATACACTGACTGCATCTGTAAAATACTTAAAAACAAAACAAAACAAAAGCAAATGCAATCGATCAGATACAGAAACGATGTCAAGATAAACCGATTCACGGTAAATATTCTGTCCGTACCAAACAAGCTGATGGATACAAACCCATATGTGGCTACGTAGTGCAGGGTAAAAAGCTGAAACCAAATGTTTTATCTTTGCTGCAAAGGAAAATGCGTGTTAACTAGAAATTATAAGCACACATACTAAAAAAATGTGTTAGCCGAAAATGCAGATTCTCTGATCAATACCCATAAACAATTGATCATCTTGTATCACGTTGAACGGTATTGGCACCCAACATTGTTCTCACGAGTACAGCCCACACCTTATGAAGGGCATTATCTATGTAAAATATGTGTGTGTGTGGGGGGGGTGGGGGTTTATTGCTCAGTGGAAAATGTCATGATGCCATTTTTGACCTTAGGTCTCTGGGCGGAACCCGCAAAGAAATGAGTACACACCAGACGAAAGGTAGAATTACAGAAACACCCTTAATAGATTTAGATTTTGTCACAAAGATTAGGGAACTGGAGCATGGTGAAGCTTATAAGTACCTAGGAATTAGCGAAGGAGATGGCATACAACACCCCCAAATGAAGGTAAAAATAAGAAAAGAATAATACAGGCGTGTACGTCTGGTACTAAATACTGAGCTAAACTAAAAAAAAAAAAACAGGATATCAGCTATAAACACATTGGCTGTCCCTGTGGTGCAATACAGCTTTAATGTCCTTAACTGGACCATAGCTGAAATTAAGCGAATGGATGCCAAAACGAGATAGCTACTCACTTGCTACCGCATGCATCATCCCAAAGCTGATGTCGACCGTCTGTATGTGCCCAGATCCGAAGGAGGCAGAGGATTAGTTCAACTAGAACTGTCCTACAAAACTACAACAATTGACCTCCAAAGATATTTGGAAACTACAGAAGACTGGATGATGGTATGCGTCAAGGAACATGAAAGTAGTAAGCGTCTCTACTCCGTAATGAAAGAAGCCAACAAATTCAAAATGGAGTTCCAAATGGGCGTAGAGATGCAACTACAGCACAATACACCGGCTGAAACTGCAAAATACCTAAAAAAGATAGCTAAGACGAATGCAACCGACCAGTTACAGAAGCGATGACAAGATAAACCGCTTCATGGCCAATACTCTGCCCGTACCAAACAAGCTGACGTAGACAAAACCCGTACCCATCAGTGGCTACGCAGTGCAGGGTTGTAAGCGGAAACTGAAGGTTTTATCCTTGCTGCGCAGGACCAATGCTTGCTAACTAGGAATTATCAAGCACATATACTAAAATATTGTGTCAGCCCAAAATGCAGATTGTGTGATAAATATCCAGAAACGATTGATCATCTTGTATCAGGTTGTACGGTGTTGGCACCCACTGAATATAAAACCCGACATGACAGAGTGGGCCAATATCTGCACTGGAAAATCTGCAACTTCTGCGGGAAGAAAACTGAAAGAAACTGGTATGAACACCACCCAGACCCGGTTACGGAGATAGGACCTGTTACAATTCTATGGGATTACACAATACACACTGACAGAACAATCAAGGCCAACCGGCCAGATATTGTTATTAAAGACCACAAACAAAAACGGTGCCTCCTTATTGATATGGCAATCCCTGCTGACTGCAATGTATCTTTGAAGATCTTCATAAAGTTGTCAAAATACAAGGATCTTGAAATCGAAATCTCAAAAATGTGGCACATGAGAACATCAACAATCCCTGTTGTAGTTGGAGCCCTAGGACTGGTTGGAAAAGATTCCAGTAGACTAATTGAAGGGATTCCTGAAAGTCCATGCCTCAAGGAGATACAGAAAATTGTTCTGACAAGTACAGCCCACACCTTACGAAGGGCTTTATCTATGTAATCATTTTTTTTTTTTTCAGTGGAAAGTGTCATGACGCCATTTCTAACCTTAGGTCCCTGGGCGCTACCCGGAAAGAAATGTGTAAACGCCAGAAATCAAAGAAAATAAAAATAATAATAATAATTTGACTCCGTGAAATAAAGACAGATATGTCAATGCAGGTCAGGTGAATAGATTTAAGTAACAGAGATAATGAACAATATAATTGTCGAAAAGGAGAACCCGTATATACCATCCATCACTATAGATGCTGAAAAATGCTGGGTTACTTGTATCGCTCCAGAAAATAGCTGACTCCTTCTAGCAATCTCTATCTTTACAACAGTTAGATCAGACTAAATATGGAGTATTGTTTAGAGTTGTCTAATCTCCACTTGAAAGAGTTCAAAACCTTTTGACGACTTTTTTGAATTATTTTACATGCATTTTTTCAGAGGAAACGACGCAGGCATATCACTATGGCGATAAATGTTCAGGCGAGCCACATTTTTAGTTCGACCAGTTCAGACATCTACATCTAGACATGTCATTCCACGTAAAATGATACTAATCTTTCTTTCCTTCGTATTCCATTGCTAAGGAGGAAGTTCCCCTGAGACAGATTCTTCCGCAGAAGAAGACCGGAGGGTAAAACAGCCGAAACGTCGTGAATATGGCAATAAAGATGAGGATAAGAGTGCAAACAATGTAAATAGTGTAAATAATTACAATACATTAATCTTAGAAATATAGACAGCTTTTGAAGGTGAATATGGCAATAAAGATGAGGATAACAGTCCGAACAATCTAAATAGTGTAAATAGTTAGAATACTCATCTCGAAAATATAGACAAATAAGAAATAGTACAGAACGAGAAAGATAATGGTAAAAAGATGAAAGGGAAATAGAGAAAGGTGCTAAAAGTAGGATGGTGGCGGTACTAACTGGAAGAATATAAAAAAAAGCTGAAGCAAATGCTCCTCGTTCAAGGGGCAGATTAATGAAGTATTTCGCAATGGAGGTGGCAACAGAAGAATGTTTTTGATTGATAGATTCGTTTCTACAGTTTATCAACCTATCACAAGTTATTTAAAGCCAGAAATATTTTTAGACTGTGAAAAAATTTTTATGGAGATAATGATTGTTTAGTGAGACAAGTAGTAATTAATTAAAACTTGCATTACTAAACCATTATCATTACAAAAATACTTGGGAAAGAAAAGGTGGATTCCTACCTTTCCCAAGGGTATTTCCGCGTAAGAGAATATAAAAAACTCGACTTGAATTAAAACTCCGCTCACTGTTTAACAATTCCGTGCTTTTATCCATCACACCACACCACACGCATATAGAAGCGAACAGCACCTGGTATTCCCAAGCGGTCGCCCAGTTAGCTACTGACCAGGAGCGATGTTGCTTAACTGCGGTGTATCGTACGGGAACTAGTGTGTCAACCTGATGTGATTGTAAGCCTCAGAACGAAAACAAAATGAGGAAAAGAAATCTAAACATTCTAGAAATAGGATGGCATTGATTTTGAATTATGTTCCTAATAAATGCCCGGATGCAGAAAAATCCCTATAAAAATAACTACGGAAGGACATGTAATACCAGAAAATCAGAAAAATAAATCTGACAAAATAATAGTTTTCGGTTTCTATGAAAATGAGCCGTACCATATTTAAATAGGAAGATGAAGAAAAATTTTCTTAGTATTTTTTCTTTCTTCTTGTCATTTCTCCTGTGTCGCCATATACAGTTCATTTCTCATTTGAAATGACGCAAGAAAGCCTATTCCTTCTTTTTTGTATATTTTCTTTCTCTTATCTGTCAACTTTATCTTTTCCATGCATCATGTGAGATGCTGAATCATCAGAGAAATGTCTTATATCCACGGTAACATAAATTCAGAATCAGTAATTCGAAAGAAAGATAGAGATTTACACTTACACCTAATGGTGGTGTTCAAATCTACAAAGTGCAAATACACAGAGAGAGGAAAAGCGAGGGAGTAGGAGAAACAGGTCGAGAGAGAGGGAGAAAAAAGGTGAAAGAGAGAGTAGAGAATATTAAAAAGTTTGAAAAATTAACAAAGACCACGTTTTACATCTTTTTTATTTGTACTAATATCTTCATCATTGTTGTTATTATCACACCGTTTCGGTCGATGGGCCTCCGGCCTTATTCCGGTTTCTCTCGATCCGGAGAGATTTCAGGTAATTTCGAAATAAACACTTTATTTAATCTACAGGGGTAGATCATTCTCATTCTTCTGTCCATGTGTAAGGATATCATTTTGTTTTCATTTGTTACTTATCAGTCATTACTTACCCTATTAACACTTTCTAAAGAAAGCACTGTACTACTCAGCCTAGGATGGAACTCACAATCACTATTTCACCAGTGTTTCAATATTCAAATTTTCGACTTTTTTTTTCGTAAAGACCAATGATGCATTGACATAGATAATGGTTAGTGTCAATCTATGTTTACTAGACTATCGCTAAATAAATATGATTGGTGGTAAAGCGATCCTTTGAAAATAGTCTTAAAAATAGATTCCATATATAAAAGAAAACATGACCATTTCCTTTCCTCTTGATTATTTTGTCTTAGCTTTTTTGTTGCCTGAGCGACACCATTTTGTTTATTCAAACACAGTCTCCATCATCGAACCGCAGTAAATTGGGGACTCGATAATCTTTACAATGTTTGTAAAGTATGTGACTCGACAGAGCTGCATACCAGCTTCGAATTCAAAGATTTTCTATTCTTAGATTGCTAACTAAGGCATCCCTTTTTATTTAACCGATGACTCGTAGTGGTGTGTGGAAAATTGATTCATACCTTTCACAATGATATTTTTGCAACCCTCTAATCAATTGACAAACCTTTATCGTTAACACGTTAAACAACACACCTATCAGTTCTCAACTCACAAACAACACTCCCCCCACCCATCTCTGAGCTCCGTCTCTTCTTTTCTTCCTCTCTCCCTCAGACGTCAGCTTTGTTGAGTAATGCCGACTTTAAAGGTGATCAGGATTTCTTTCCTCTCCTCAGTTTCGACCGATGTGCCGTGTGTCGATAGGGTTGATTCCGCCTTCTCGAAATCCTACGATATTAACATTGTCGGTAAAGTCTAGTGTGAACCACTGTATATAGGTTGTGTACCACAGACAAGATTGCATATTTCCCACCTGTTGCCGTGCTAAACTTTTGTCACTTTGCTGAATCAGGCTGGAATATGAATCCTTCAATAAAATACCCAACACTGTTGATAATCATAACAACAGGTTTATTGATTATGAAGAAAAAATGGTTGAATAACATATCACTGTTATCTACTGCAAAATTAAGTTCTCTGCTGCAGGATTGTGATTTGAGAAACGCTGTAAACATCAAAGTAATAATCAGGTAGCCGACTCTTCCCCCATTTCATCAAAGTAATAACCAGTCTTTCGATTTTTCCTTAATTCTGTGCCTGTGTTTTTCTTTTTGGTCCTGGAATTGCGGGCTTGCTCTTTAGCAACGACTGTCCTACGAGCAATCTCAAGCCGCCCCGAGCCGACTTCTAGTTCCGTCTCTCCATGTTTCTCGGCTGCTTTCTTTGTTGGGCCCGATCTCCGACTGTGACAACGGCCCGGTGATTTCGTTTATATAGACGCCTGCCACTCCAAAATTTGACATTTATAAATAATTTCTCCACCGACTGTTTTAATCTTATGAGACCTTTGTTAAAATAACATATGGCACTTATTTTGATTCTTCTATTATTTCCTAGATATCCTTCTGTAAATATAATTGTGTTCTTACACGATCAACATAGAAATATCTCAATCTTGGTAATTAACACGAACAATATTTTATTATTTGTTCAGAATAATTCGTAAGAACATGTACATTCTGAAGAAATAGGGTACTGAAAAAAAACTTACGAATTTTAATACCTCAGAAGCTTAGAAATTCGAACAACACTTCTTTTTATCGAAGTTAATAGGGTTGGGCACGTTGGTTTTCCTCATTTTTAGTGAATCTGATGTAATGAATATGCATACACCTGAGTCCCCCCTCACAGTAATATGATTGGCTGGTGTCAGTCATAAATACAGGCTGATGTGGAGGTACAGGGACAACGCCTATTGGCTACACCTACTGCCTACGCCTATTGCCTACCACTACGACAAGGACCAGTTCGTTTACGGTTACCTGCTAGATTGTCCTACTTGGTTAAAGTAGTCAACAACCACTTTGCTACTTCGAACAAATATCTCCCTTTGCGGGACATATCAGAATATTGTCTGGTTAATTCTGAATGCGATTCTACTTGGAATCGTTCTTAAATTCATTTCATTATTTTAAAACATAAATTTTAATGCGTTTCGTATTTAATTTTCTGCTCACCCATTCAACCTATATTCTCCTGAAAATTTTAATGATTTTTTTTTCAATTAGTTGTACCACCAAATTACTATCCTGTATTTACATGCAATTAAACGCCTAAACATGGTCATATGTGTGAAAGTGAATATAGCCAACTTGAGCGAAACGGTGTTACAATAGAACTCCAGGTAATATTGCTTTGTCTGCGGATTGGAGTTTTGTAATCATATTTCATAGACAGTGACAAGTTATTACAAGATTTTATCAACCGAATATACTGCAAAAGTCAACCTGGTGTTATCCGTACAATAGAATTTTTGGTTGGGATTGAAACATTTGCCACCTACTTTACCGACAACCGCACTCCTATCTGCTTATGAATTATAAACCTAATACATTCACTGGATAACTCTAGTGCCCCAGAAATACTTTGACCGACATACGTCAATCAGATAAAATTCAGTCATGAATATGTCTAAAAGATTTATGAGCTGACATCGTTGAAGGTTTCCTAGAGCACGTACTTCATCATAAGTCTCAAATTCTTTATACTGGAAGTTGGCACACCGCATCGTGACAGTTGAGTATTTCAGGAACTTCATACCCTTATGGATTTACTTCGGAGTTTCCATTCTGTATTAGCAAGGAACTAAAAAGAACCACACTTTCGCTAACATAGTTCAGTCTATGAAGCGACACAAATAGAATCACTAGGAGATTATAAATGGTGTCTTCACAAAATAAAAGAACAAACTTAAGCAGCCATAATGGTCAGAATTTGGGACGTCTAATGACATGACACGTACGGTGGAATAATGAATAACGGCTCGGAGTGCGGAATCGGAGAGCAGAGTTCGAATTCTAGTAAAATCCATTGCATTCACTTACGTGCAAGTACCCTGGGGTATGAATCCTTTTCTTCTTCTCCCAGCTAAAGACCGGGTTCTATAAACTTGGATGGCAACTGGTCTACCGCAGAAAGATCTGGCAACCTATTTTAGGGTAAAAACTGCCTCGTCAGTTATGTATAGAAAGATACATGATCGCTTAAGCGTGTATCCCGCATGACACATACCATTTTTTATTGAGCTAAGAAATTTTCAGCAGTAACTTCCCACACACACACACACACACACACACACACACACACATATATATATATATATATATATATATATATATATATATATATATATATATATATATATATATATATATATAAAAAATGAGTAAATGGTTTATCATTTAGCTTACTGATGCTGCCTTCAGCATCCCGACTCCAGAGTTTCGTAGACGGACACGTCCGTCCACTCGTCAGGGGTATCAACAATTAAATGCATATTTTTATTTTTTATATGCACTTATCATTGGTGCAAGTGTTTTGTCATCGTTTGTGCGTGTGTACGTTCGCGCACATGCGCCCTTGTGTCCATGTGCATTCGCGCGCATGCGCCAATGTGCCCGCGTGCGTTCATGCGCTTGCGTCTTCTGCGCATATTGGTGTACGTGCACGCCAACGGGATTATTTATCATTTTCGCTGTTTTTTTCTTCTCCATTTTACACTCACTCCTCAGCCATTTTTCTCTTTTTTTTTTTCGTTTTCTATTTGTTTTTCTTCCAATTATAGGCATTTGTTGCTATATCAGACACCTATGAAGTGCGCAGAGAAATTTAATCACTGATGTTTATTCCTGTCGCCATTGGGTTGGTCCCAAAAAACATCACAACCAATCCCAGGTGACCCAATCAGGAGCGATCACCTCCCATTTAAGTCTGAGACATCTGCCAATGAAACCGTGGTATTTGTCCTGAGCTATTTATTGGTTTGATTCTTCTGTGGATTTCATCAAATGAAAATTAGTTGGATCGTTTCTGCCGTCTCTTTTGCCTATTAAATGGGTCGCTGACTTGTTTTGTCGGAAACTGAAGAAATTTGTAAACATATCATAATTATTGATAATTAATTATCTATAATTAAAAGGAAGTTGATAAATTCAAATGAGTTTTAAGAATTGGTTAATAAGTTTTCAAAATAAAGTTTGGTTCACTAGTGTCATCTGCGTCAACAGCCCAAATTTAACAATA